GTGCGGATGTCCCACAGTTTAGTCAAGTTAGATGGTTACTTAGTTTACTGGGTCAACTTGCAGTCCCAAGGTAGTCTAGTTTGCCCAATTGCAAAATCTAAGTTATGTACATTATACATAACAATGAGTTACATGAAGAGAGAGTGAAAAAATACAAAAAAATACATGTAAGTGACCGATGGAAAATGTACAACAAGTACTAGGGGGCTGTTTGTTTTCTTTTTTTTGAGAGGTAAAGGTGGGGAAAGCCTGTCAAAAGTGTAGTTTTTGGCAGGCTTTCTACCCAAATCGCCTCTAAAAGAGGCGATTTTGGTGGAAAGCCTGCCAAAAGCTGCACTTTTGGCAGGCTTTTGGCAGGCCCTTCTCAAAAAAAAAAAAGGAAACGAACAGTCCCTAGATATTAAAAGAGAAAAAGCTTATTGACTCAATAGCTTATTATTTATGTTCCCTTCTAAGTACTAGATAGATCTAGGTATGAAATAAAGGTTGGTACTCCCAATGAGGATACAGCCGAGCGGTCCACGCTAGTGATGTGACCAGCCGGTGCCTCTCGCTTCGCTCCTCCTCTGTTTCCAAGGCCCAGTAGAGCGTGAGCTTGTATTATTGTTTACTAATTAGTGGTATATAAGATTCCATTAAAGTTTAAAGTTTATTAAATCACATCATACTAGTTTTCGGATTCCCTCTTAAATTTAGCTTATTAATTATGGAACCCATTGACAACAAATGAAAGAGACATCAACGGTCAAGACTAGTTCACCACTTTTGAATCTGATACAGTTAAAAAACAGTTCAATGGGCGTTCGACTCGTGTTCGCATCAGAGCTGGAACCATAAACAAATTGCAACAATTAGACAGGATACAAAGCTCAGCCTTATGTTTTCTAGTTTTATAAAAACAAAGTATAAAGCTTATGTGCACTTGGGGTACATTAGTAAAGAACCTGGTGAACGTAATTAAAGAAGAAGCGGGCGACGACATCTGCCTTAATTTGGTTTTTTTTTTAAAAAAAATTAAAGGGGAGCGTCCTTAATTATTAAGCAAGGGCCAATGCGCCCATGTGATATCTTCCTGCGTCTTCGTAACTTGTCACTGCCTTGTGTGAAATGCGTGATCTTGTTTCTGATATTGTATCCAAATCCAATTGTAAAATAACAATCACCAAGATCAAGAATTTTACCAAAATTTTCCATATCTTTTTTTGGGTTGAGATTCAACTTATAGCTAACT